CTGTAGCTCATGCTGAACGAGTGACTCGAATCGCACACCAGATCGATTCGCACGTGCGATTTTTTATTGTTGTTATTATTACTTTATTATTACTTTATTGTTATAGTTGTATTGTTACTTTATTACGGTTGTTAGAGTTATGACTGTTTTATTGTTATGATTATTAGTAACGTGAGAATTTATTTATAGTATCGTATTATCAACTGTATTGTTACATTATTACGATTACGATTATTTGTTACTTTATTGATAATACTTAAGGTAATTAGTTAATTTTGATGGTATTCAGCGATAAATTAGTGAACGTGATAGAAAAATGAATTGAAGGTGTACCCACCAGCGATGGTTGAGACGAAGATATTGGAGCAGATGGAAGATATACACTATGTGATGTTATCACGTCAGAACGAAGTGAACTATTTGCGACAAGTGGCTGATTATGTGGTGATTAGGCTGATCGATGAGACTCGCATCGCGGGACGTGCCAGCGATGACGACTCGCCGCTGCAGTATAGCTGTTCGGTTTATAATGTTCGTGGTGATCATTCGGATTTGATTGATTCTTTCGTTTTTGTTTCGTTGTTTTGTTTGTTCAGTGGTTAGTAATATGGCCAGTAGAAACGGTTGTTTAGATGTAGTGATGTATGACATATTTGTAATTTGTAATTGTAATTTATAATTTATTTGTAATTTATTTATTTATCTGTAATTTATTTGTAATTTGTAATTGTAATTTATAATTTGTTTGTAATTTATTTATTTATTTATCTGTAATTTATTTGTAATTTTGTATTTATTTGTAACTTTTTGATGCAATTTAGTAACTTTATTTGTTTATTTGTAATTTGTATTTTTTTAAAATTTGTAATTTAATTTGTAATTTCGATGAAATTGATAGGTGTGTGATATGTTGTAAGATGCATTTCAGCGCACTTGGCCGAGTCACGTATGTCGTCATTTCCTGCGTGAGCTAATCGTTTTCACGTTTTTGCTGCCCGTTCTGGATCTGATCGCCGACCCAGATACAATCAATCGATTGTTGATCTTATTGTTCGATCCAGAACCGATGGACAAGTCGTCACAACCGCAGGTATGAAGAACGCACAGCAGTGTGAGGATTGGATTCTTTGAAATTTCCGAAAATTGTTCGTTTCAGCCAAAAATGGTGGAA